AGAGTGCATAACACACTGAGATCAATGATAATAGTGCTGCAGAGTGTAACACACTGAGATCAATGATAATAGTGCTGCAGAGTGCATAACACACTGAGATCAATGATAATAGTGCTGCAGAGTGAATAACACACTGAGATCAATGATAATAGTGCTGCAGAGTGAATAACACACTGAGATCAATGATAATAGTGCTGTAGAGTGCATAACACACTGAGATCAATGATTATAGTGCTATAGAGTGAAAAACACACTGAGATCAATGATTATAGTGCTGTAGAGTGAATAACACCCTGTGATCAATGATAATAGTGATAATAGTGATGTATAATGAAGACCACATAGTTTAAATCACCAAAACATATATATACACTTAAATATACACCGACACTACAGCTGCTCAGCTTCCAATAGCCGACTTTCATCATTCAGTCTCTGCATTTGTTTTAGTATTAACTCCCACTACCTCTGCCTCTGTCTACCGTTTCTCCCCCCACCCCGTTATCTCTCAGTCCTATGAGTCTCGAGTCTCAGGAGACGGAGGAATGGACGGAGATGAAGAAGAGGAAGGGGAGGAGTCTCCAGAATCCCCCCCTGGAGATGCCCCAGACGACCAGCAAATCATCATAAAGAGAGATTGCCGGGAACACGCCCCCCGTCGCTACTGATATCCAATCACAGCAGAGTTAAGAAACTGGGATACTAGCAGCGGCCATCTTGGCTCCGTTTTCCCTTCACTTTGTATAACGGCTTGGCTGTTGCCCAGTATCCCAAATGGCTTCTGTTTCCTCAGAAAAAACGTTCAAGCCAATTAGGTCCAGACTGCACAGGAGAATTTTGTCGGATTGGAAACTGGAGCCCTTGGTGGCCTTTATTCCTCTCATCCCATGCTTGTTTCGTTTTGGAGTTTTGTCCTACTTTTGAGCCAAAATGGATCCAGCTTCTTAATCCTCCTGTTACGGTCTCCAAGTGTTATTTATTCAGCAATTCCTTAGTATATCCCCCATCTCTTTTTCCTTATTAATCAGCCAATGAAATTAATGGAGCCCATGAATGACTCATGAAGACCAGCTCTAGAAACAACAGTATAAATGCCCTTACTGCTGAACATCACCGGCACGCACACAACACAACCTCATTCTATAATCTACTCAATAATACACAACCTATTGTAGAGTTCCATGCAATCCACACACGCCACAACTGTAGCTACTTTCCGGCAATCCGTTTAGAATATTCTACACAAGTTGCAACAGGTTCTGCACCGTGTTGTGCTGCGTGCACAGCCCAGTGTTTCGTACATAACCTACAATATGAACTCTGCATACAATCAGTACCACACGAGCCCTGCTTATTCAACCTGGATGTCACAGTTCAGCACAATATCTAAAACCTAATCCCTGGAACTGAGTCTTTGACCCACAATTTGTCTGAAATACACTCACCTGTGTAAATCTGGGGTGTTCTAGTACACACCAATTTCTAGTGGGCCATCTAACACCAGAATCCACAGTATACGGACAGCACAGGCAGTAAACGCACACTTTCTACTCTCAAAAACTACTACAAAGCTGCTGATATATAAAGCCCCTTCACTCACCTCTATCTGTTGTCCACATCGTGCTTCGTATTCAGTGTTTACTACACAATCGTGACTACACAATCCTCCTACACACTCTCTATTCAGAATGTCAGCCCAGTTACTGGGTGATCTTGATTGTATTGATTCCTGTAAATAGAAAAATATGTTATTATTATTATTATTATTATTATTATTATTATTATTATTATTAGCTGCAGCTCCCCCGCAACTGTGAGGGGGCGCTGATCTTTGTTGAACTGTCATTTTTATTTCGCCAATTCACAATGACTTGCTCTCCCGCCCCCCCCATTATTAGCAGATAATAATAATTCTAATAATATCTTGCTTGTTGCGTGTTTAACTGAGTTGTGTGTCTCCGCCCTGCAATGACCAGCGTCGTGTAAATTTGATCTGAGTGTACTAACCTTGCTGTTCATTCCTGTGGGTACAAAAAAACAACTTGTCCTCTCTCTCTCTCCTCCTCTTTTTACGTTTCTCTGTCTCTCTCAGTCCTGTCTCTACCTCGGGATTTTCCCCTCCTCCCAGGCCCTCGATCTGTCCTTCTCCTTCCTCGCCTCTTCCCCCTCCACTGCTGCCTCTCTCTCTCTCTCGCTCCTTGTTGGTGTACAGTGACCGTGTCTGTATCTGAGCCAGTGTTCTCCTTGTTTTATTGACGTCACGGTTCTGCAGAAGCCTCTTATTATTGTAATTATTCTTCTTCTTGTAAAACAAGATTCCTAATAAAACAAAATGCAAGAATGATGTCAAAATAGCTGCTGGTCTCCGCAGTAGAACTGATCCACGCACGCGTGCGTCCGACAGGGCCTTTTCTGACATCCCCCAAAAAAACGGCCCTGCGTTCGTCTACAGTATTGGCGATTTGTTTTCGTGTTGTGTTTCCCAGAGCTTGAACTGAATCGGAGAAATCTCTAATCAAGGCGTGGGAGCGTGCATTTGAACAGACGCGGGTGTGAGCTGCTCGTTACGTCCGATTGGATGAAAAGAGCACAGGTCAGCGCTGCTCCCAGCGACTGTGTCACTTCCAGGGACATCCAAAAGGGGGTAGTCAGGGCGCAGTCCGTGATACAAGAGCCGGGAGATCCATCCAAGAAGAAGAGGATTAAAACCAGGGAACGGGGAACTAGGGCCAGGAACAGGGAATTTAAAAACATGATGGGAGCAGGCGCTCCGAGGTCAGGACACTGGGGTGAGGGCCTGTGCCTGCTGCCCCTGAAGCCTGGGAGCAGGCGGGCCTTCGGGTGGCCATCTTCCAAAGCTGAGCCCGGAACTCCGGAGACGCCGGATTTATATCACAAAAAAAAAAGGGAGGAGGGATTTTAAGCAGGACAACGGGGTTCATGTCCTGTCTCTTACAAACAGGGCCCTGGGATTGTCCAAGACAATCTGTTTAAGGTCTCTTAAACCTCTTAAAGCAGGGGTCTGTAACCCTGGTCCAGTTACTCCAGGGGTCTGTAACCCCGGTCCACTGACTCCAGGGGGTCTGTAACCCCGGTCCAGTGACTCCAGGGGTCTGTAACCCTGGTGCCCGGTTCATTTAGTTTAACCAGTCACCTGTTTTTAAAGATTGGCAATGGCTGTAAACTATCGATGAATAACAGGAGAAATCTGTTAAACTAAGAGAACTGTGGTCCTTGAGGGTTGAAGAGTAATTTTAAACCTAAACATTCTAAACTACTTAATTTAATAAATTAGCTGTTTGATTTATCAATGGGACTGAATGTTCTTTTAAACTGGCCACTTAGTGGTTTTTAAATCTGACCAGATCAACCTACAGAAGTGTTGGCGCGTCAGCCAAAACATCCGTTGTAACATAACGCACTCCCGTACCGCAACTGGTCTAGGGTAACACGTTTTAAAATAATCGTGTGTCTTAAAATCGAAATAAAAAAACGGTCCAACTGAGATCTTAAAGGATTTTTCAAGGCGAATCGATCCCTGATTGGGTGCTCAACTAGTCGGGTCTGAGACGGAGGGAAGGAGGTGCTGCACAATGGACTTTGTTTAAAGGTTGCGCAAACCTTCCCTTTCGCCTCCCCTACACGTTTTGCGTAACCTCCGCCCTTCACCTCCACCGCTCCATCGGCGGACGCTGTTGGCGCCACGTAAACCTCTTCGCAGAATCTCGGCGGCGTTTCCGCATCAGCCGCAGCCGGAGCGGCGACTCGCTACGCACTTTGCGTAGCTCCGCCACCCGTCTGCCGGGAGCTCTTGCGCGGCCGGGCTTCGTGAATCCCGTCGGCCAAATAATGTTAAATTAAAGGAGGCGTACGGTGGCCGGTGCTGTGCCTGCGGATCCAGAGAGGGGGAAGCGATTGGAGGATTACCGCAGACACTTGACCGGCTGGGTACTGCGGTACGTTGACATTGCGCCGAGAGGGAGGACGGCCGTGTGACGGTGGTCTGGTAAGTTATATGCAGCGGAGGGGGGGGCGGCGCACTGTTGTCCCGTCCGTCTCTCTGTGTTGTCTTGGCTCGGAGGCGGACAGCCTTGCCTCTGTCTGTTCAAAAACAGCCCCCTGCCTCACCGTCCTCTACCTTGGTCTGCCTGCCGGTGGCCGGTGAGCTGTCCTTCAGCAGGTGAGCGGACAGCGAGTGTACGAGGGCGCCCGCACGTGTGGAGAGCCGTGTGAATCGTGTGCTTGTTGTGGCTTCAGCGTGTCTTTCTGTGATGTTGTGACTTAGGGGAAGGGTCTAGTGTGTGCAGGTTGCGCTCTCTGTGCATAGCTAAATTAGGTATTTTCCAGTGTCTTCCTACTCTGTGTGAGGAGTATATTCTTTTGCATGGAAGAATGAACCTGTTATATGTCAGTAATCCTCTCTCTGTGTGTCACCTACAGTGAATCCAATTAGCTCTGAGGTCACTTTGGGGCTCCTGCTTCTATATTATACAGTCTTAAATATCAGTTTATATAACATAGCCTTCAGGCAGTCAAGGCTGTCTCTATGGCATAATCTTCTGTCAGGCTGTGTGTCTGTCTTTTATCCTTCTGTTTATATTGTATCCCTGTCTGTCTTTGTTGCTCTGTGATTGGTCAGTTCAGGTTGTGGCTGCCAACTGATTGGCCGGAGCTGGTGGCTGCCATGGCGATGCGGGATCTGGTGGAGGGGGAGTGTGGGGGTGCCAATCCGCTCATGAAGCTGACGGGTCACATGACCCAGGACCGAGAAGGCGGAGCTTGGAGACACAGGGCCACACCCACTGTGAGTCACATGGAGCAGAGACATATTGTTCTGATCTTGGAAGTTTTTCCTCTTATCATAAACGCCTGTCTCTCTCTCTCCCTCAGATTCCCACTCCTATTGAGATTGCCACTGAAGATGACGTGAGTAAAGTTATTATTAGTCACTTGTTTGAAGTAATTGAAGAAAGAGATGTAGATCGTTCCAATATTACAGGAACAAGAGCAACAGCAGCTGCTCATTATATTTGCCAGCAGCTATATTATCCTGCAACTCACAACTGGCAGCCCCACTGAAGCTCAGCAGGTGTGAGCCTGGTCAGTACCTGGATGGGAGACTCCTGGGAAAGATAAGGTTGCTGCTGGAAGAGATGTTAGTGGGACCAGTAGGGGGCGCTCACCCTGAGGTCTGTGTGGGTCCTAATGCCCCAGTATAGTGACGGGGACACTACACTATAAAAAGGCTCCGTCCTTTGGATGAGATGTAAAACCGAGGTCCTGACTCTCTGTGGTCATTAAAGATCCCAGGGGGTTTTTTGAAAAGAGCAGGAGTGTAACCCCGGTGTCCTGGCCAAATTTCCCCCTGGCCTTTACCAGTCATGGCCTCCTAATAATCCCCCTCTCTGAACTGGCTGAATCACTCTGCTCTCCTCCCCACTGAGAGCTGGTGTGTGAGGAGAGGACTGGCGCATCATCCAGGTGGGGCTGCACTCTGGGGGTGGTGGAGGGGATCCCCATTATCTGTTACGTGTCCCAAAAAGCGCTACAGAAGTGTAAGGATTCAATTGGATTTATTGTTGTAATCACAATGGGTTGCCAGCGTCTCTCTGTCGCCCTCTAGCTGGTTAGCGAGTTCCTGCAGGACGCGGCCCCCCCCCGCCCCCCCCACACCTTCAAGATGGACGACCTGCTGGTGGAGATGCAGCAGATAGACCAGCAGAGCTACAGACAGGCTCCTCAGAGAGGTACCGTCTCTGCTGTCCTGTATCACTCTACCCCAGGCCTGGTCCTGGTGTCTCCCACACCTCCTAATTTCCCACGTTCATTAGATAATTGAATCCTTACTGGATCTAAGATCCAGTTGCTTCATTGGAATATTTGCGTATTGCCTCTGGTCATAAGTTGGCCGATTTTACTTTGCTTATAAAATGCAATGGTTAAGGATCCAACATGTTTAAAAGGGAACTGCAGTCTCAATTTCTTAGACCGGTTATTTATTCTCGTAAATTCATTGACGGAACAATGGATAAATCGTAAACTTTGTGAAAGTGCTGTATAGTCGCCACGTTGTGGCAAACTCGCATTGGAGTTCCCACAAATTGGGATGTTTTGCGGCCCTTCCTGCTCACTAGTCCCAGTAATGATTGATGTGCTGTGATGGATGAGCGAATAGGTACAGGTTGTGCAGCAGACATTTTGCCGCAGAAATGTTCCAGCGTGATCTGCAGGCAGAGTGAACCAGTGAGTAGTATTTGTCAGTGGAACCATCTGGAAGTTGAGAGCATTATTTCTCCTGGATTAAAAGAGAGGGATTCACGAGCCTGCTTGTTTACAGTGTAATAGAGCCGCTTCACCTCACCAGAAGTTTTGTTGTTCTGAATCGCAGAACATGGCGCTGCACAGACCTGGACATTTACTTGTGATGGAAATTGGAGGTTTTACAAGTTACTGTGCACATCTTACTTCCATTGTGGTTTGAAATGCACTCATCAGTGCTGATTCCTTCTAATCCCCGAAATTTAAAAATAGCATTGCAGTTCCCTCTTTGAGAGCTGGGAGAAATCGGTTCAAATCCATCGCGTTATTATGAAGTGAATTGAAGGGATGGATTGTGGAACTGAGGGCGAGCCAGCGGGTGTATGGGGGTCACCAGGCCCAGGACTGTTGTTGGCAGACAGGGACTGCTGTTTCCCTGTCTGCCAGCAGCCCTGTGCTCGGTCGCTGCTTGTCTCACGGGCTACAAGCCAGGCTTGACAGCTAGGATGTGTGGTGCATTGTGGGGAAACAGTAGGCATGTCTTGTTACAAACCAGCTGATACTCTGGGACGTGACCGCAACACCTGGTGTACTAGACATGCACGACAAGGAAGAACAGAGGAGAAAATAAGAGTCAAGTGCATTTTATTTGTGCTTGTAGTTGAATGTGTCCTGAAAGTTTTTCAATATTCTGGCCATTCCTGAGCTGTTAACAGGATCAGAGGATGCATTCTGAAAAGGTATTTGATTGCTTTTGCTCTGCAGGTTCCTGAACACACCCCCTTTTCCTTTTAAGGTGTAATGTTAAATGTATCAATTGATGCCATCTCACTGATTGTTTAGATGTTTCTCTCCTTCTTTCTGTACTTCTGTTTATTTATGAGCTGTCTCTTCTCTTTTCTTCCCCCGCTGTTCCTGATTGGTGGCCCTCTCCGTCCTGGGTGTGCCCGATTGGCGGTTCTCGGCGCAGCCCCGGGGGTGGCGGCCCTGGCTCTGTCGGGCGATTGGGCGGCTGAGTTCCTCAACTCCCCCGACCCCGCCCCCTCCCAGACGCAGGCGGGGCCGAGCGAGACGGCGGACTCTGATTGGACCAGGGAGTTCATAGATGACGGCACAGGTGCGTTGGATCCGTGTGCTGGATTTTGATTCTGTGCTGGTTCGAGACATGAGACTGGGGACCATCCGAATGCCTGAATCTGCTGTGCGAATGGTAAAATTGAAGTTGAGGGAAGGGATATTGACATTGCACAACACGTCATTTAGTCCTCCTTTACAGATGTAAAGTTCTACAGTTTCCAAAAGTGAAGCGAAGTTTCTGTATTACTCAAAGGGTGTGAGATCATCAGTGAGTCCTCTCTTGCAAGAAATTGAGGACTGGCAGTGTGAGGCTTGTGCTTGTAGTCTGGGGACTGTGAGCAACTTCCTTGCCAGGTGTGTTGCTTAAGATGATACTCTTCTGAAAGCCTTCCAGAATGGTTACAAATGAGAGACCAGTCCCCCCCATATGGTCTGTTTGGTGGTTAGTAATTACAGGGGAGCTGTTCTTATATTTTGGGGTTAGAAAGAATCAGGTATTAATGAGTGCATTTCAAACCCCTAATAAAGGTAAAATCTTCACCGTGACTCGTAAAACCTCCAATTGATATCACAAAATAGATTATATTTCCAGGTCTGTGCAGCACCATGTTCTACAATTCAGACCGAGGCAACAAAATTTCCAGTGAGGTGAAGCTGCTCTATGATGCTGTAAACAATCAGGCTTGTGAATCCAGCTCTTTTCATCCAGTAGAAATATTGCTCTCGACCATGAGATGATTTTGCTGACAGATGATACTTACTTGTTAACTCTGCCTGCAGATCACGCTGGAACATTTCTGGGGAGAAATATCTGCTGCACAACCTGTACCTATTCGCTCGTCCATCACAGTCATTACAGGGACTAGTGAACAGGAAGGGCCGCAAACCATCTCAATTTGTGGGAACTCGAATGCGAGTTTGCGGCAACATGGCGACTATACAGTATCTTTGTAGATTTTTTTCTCCGCCATCAGTGAATTAATTTTGTTACCGAGATTTAAGAGCCGGTCTGAGAAATGGGGACTGCAGTTCCCCTTCAGTTCACCATCTCACCCGGCCGTTGCTTGAAACAAGGCAGGGGAGCGACTGCCGCCCATCTGCAAAGAGCCGCAGGGGACTCTGGGATTGCCGCTGCTGATGCGGTTTCTCTCTCTTTCTGTCGCTCCCAGACCCGGCTGCGCCTGTGCGCTGGGCAGAGGAGTACCTGGAGCAGTCGGAGGAGAAGCTGTGGCTGGGAGACCTGGGGGAGAAGGAGCAGGACAACGAGTGGTGAGGAGGAGTACCCGCTGACCGGCTGACTGGACGCTGGCTGACCAGATACTGCATCACAATGACACTGACTGGCTGACCGGACACCGGGTGACTGATCAGACAGTGACCAACTGACTGGAGGCTGACCGGCTGTCCAGACGCTGCCCAACTGACTGGACACTGGCTGACAGCACTGCACCACATTAACAGGGAGTGACGGACCAGACATTGACCAGCTGTCTGAACACTGGTTGGACAAATACTGTGCATCACATTAACACTGACTGACCGGACACCAGGTGACTGATCAGAAACCAACCAACTGACGGGATGCCAACCACCGGTCCAGACACTGACCGTCTGACTGGACACTGGCTGATGGCACTGCACCACATTAACATGGAGTGACTGACAAGACACTTACCAGCTGACCAAATACTGCATCACAATGACGCTGACTGGCTGACCGGACACCGGGTGACTGATCAGCCACAGACCAACTGACGGGGTGCTGACCGTCTGTCCAGACACAGTCTTTTAAAATCGCACAGAATGAGATTGAGTCACAGTGTTGACCCCAGTGTCCGGGCTGAATTCTACGTGAAGTGGGCCCCTTCCTAAAAACAACCAACATTGAGATGCGATTAGTTTCTTTTTCCTTTGCTAATGCCCATAGCGGGCATTATGGTGGCAGAGTGCTTGGCATTGCTGCCTCGCAGCACTGGGACCCTGGGTTCAATTCCTGGGGTGCTGTCTGGGTGGAGTTTGCATGTTCTCCCCTGTGGGTTTCCTCCCCCAGTCCTGACATGCTGATAGTTTAATTGCCCAGGGAAAACTGGCCCTGGTGTGCGTCCCATCCAGAGTCTACCCTGCCTTGCTCCCAGTGCTTGCTGGGATAGACTCCTCCTCCCCCACGACCCTGAATCAAGAGGAGGTTAGAAAATGGATGACACCCTTCACTGATTTTGTTCTTTTCACCATCTCTGGGAGGGGGAAGACCATTTCCCGTGGGAATTGGTGAATAGTTTCCTCTAAGATGGTAATAATGTTTACTTTTCTCTCCCTCCTTCCGGTCAGGACGCGGGAATATCAGGCCGGAGAAGATCTACAGCAAACCGCCAAGCAGCTTCTGGCTAAAGTCAGCGACCCCAAATTACAGAACACAGAGGTCAGTGCCCCTTTTAACAGCCAGTGAGAGGGCAGTGTTTTAGATATACTGATTTGGTTTCATTTTTATTTACCAGGCTCAACTTAACATTGAGTAAGTCGCCCAGTGCGATGCCTGTTGGTGATAATATAATAAAAAACCTGTTCGACAGTCCCATCTCCTCAGACATGGTAGATCTGTCCACTTTCCTACAGCTCTTCTGTGTCCTGTAGGATAAATGTATTTTGCTTGAGTGTCTTTGATGGGCGCTCAGACTGTTAATACGAGATCTCAGCTTGGCTAGATACGGTACTTCTGTGTTTCTGTCTCTTCTGTTTTATGCCTGGTGTTCAGTCACTAAAAAAAAACAGATTAATGCTCTTGTCCAGGGGTGCACAGTTTAACGTGGCAGAGTCCCACGACAATACTAATTGTAGGTGTGGTTCTGACGATGAATGATCGTTAACGATGGTGATTTGTTCTCCTCCCCTGATGGCTGTGTAATTCTCTGTTCCCATCTTAGTTTCTGAAGTTTATTAGGCAGATCGGGGAGGGGTCAGTCACCATAGAAACCAGCGAGGTGAGGGAGAGCACTGATAACAGGCAGGCTGAACAGGCACAACACTGGGCTACTAACATCGACCAGGTAGGACCCCTCACACCCAAGCAGAGACTAGAGACGACTCGTTGCTTACAGATAGTACACCTTCCAGACTACACACTATAGACAGTCCTTCACTATGCAGTCAATCCGCATGGATTTCACCCTACAGATTGCCACTATATAAAGTATGATCTGTCTTATAAACACTGTAAGCTTGATCACATAGAGAATTTACTGTGCAGAACACTGCATGGGCTACAGCATAGAATATACAATATAAACGCAGGACTAAGTACTGTAGTGTTTTCTATATAGATAGGTACTTTATTGACCACTACTGTGGAAGTTTGTCTTTGGCTTCTCCTTTAAAAATATAAAACACACTAGGAAAACATAAAATCATAACAACAGCACATAATACATAAATGGATAGAGGGAGGACTACATTTACACACATTCATTGAGCTGTTTAATTGCAGAGGGGACAAAGGACTTCTTATAAGTGGTTTTATCTGAATACTCCCTGATGACAGCATTATGAATTGGGAATGGAGTGGGTGTGTGGAGGCAGCTGTGATCTTCCTGGCCATTCTGAGATCTGTATTAGGATATAAATCGCTGAGCTGGGGGATGCTTTTTCCTAATTATTTTTTTCCTGGACAGTTTGGTTTTGCTTTTCAGCCCCAGGTTTCCATACCAAACTGTCCTGTTAAATGCTCTCAACGAGGCTTTTTATAAGCCATCTCTCGGACATTGTGACTGACATTCAAGTTCTGTAGTCTTGGAATTTAAAAACCTCTTTCTTAAAAAAGCTGTCTATATTCTCAGTGAAGCCCAGCCTCTGATTGATATGCGTTCCCAGATATTTCAAGCTATGTTGTTCAATATCTTTTTTAATTTTCCTAGATGTTTCAAACTCTAGTTTATAATATACCATATAGACGATGCCCTGTAGATGAAACATGATGTTCTGAATAAAGTATATTAGCGTACCGGCTGTGCTGCACACTGTGCAATATCCAGAGATAATATCAAAGTAGAACTTGTACTTAGACTCAACTTCACCTCCCAAAGACATTCCCTGCCAAATGACTGGCCTCTGGCCCAGTGCACCTGATCAATCAGGGTACCTTTCACTCAAGCAGATTCCTGGTGTACCGGCGGAGTTCCCAGTACATGCTCACTTGATAAGATATTGATCCGAACAGTGCCCAGCCACGATCAATACTTTGGCTTCATTCACGAACGGGCTGGATGAGATCCTGGAACCAATTAACAACCAATGACGAAATTAGATGGTGCCAAGCCATCCTCCTTTCGTTTTGTACCTTTTATTATGTCTTCTGTGTGCTGTGCTGTAGAGTGTATATTCTCTAAGGTATGGTCAGCTGTGCGGAATGTGTTTTCTGTGCTGTATAGTCGGTACGGACTGAAATATCCAGGGGACCCTACATCCTGTAACATGCAGGATGGAGTGGTGGGGTTCACTCGGATTACAACCCTAAAACCCTCATTGGCCGCTAACAGGTCCGAAAGTGTTCGTTCTGGGTCAAGTCAATGATTGGGTCCTCAGGCGTTCAAAACCAGATCGGTCTGGGTTCAGTCTCAGTCCAGGACATCTGCACCAGCCTGTACAGAGGTTCGCTTTGGTAGAGCACATGGGCTGTCCTAGAGCCTGTATTCATGGGTCCCAAGCCTGCTGGGGTTCCCCGTGTCTGTTGGCTCTCATTCCATGGGCATGGCTGATGCCCTGCACTGACTCTCGGCTCACCTGTTTCTGCACGTCTAGCCCCAAGTTTTAAGAAGTCCCCTCCCTCCATTTTTTAAAGGTGCTGTTTCCGGCACGCAGTGATGTGCGCGGTCTCTCCTCGCCCTGTAGACCCTCAGCTTGGGCAGGTTGGGGGGGGGCAGGGGGGATCACACCCACTCACGGTGAGCGCTTCTGTCCTTCTGCAGAGGTCCAGCTGTTTCCAGTCTGGCCCTCGCGGCTGTGTGAGAGCAGCTCCCAGATATTGGTCCCTGATGGCCGCCTGTTGGAAATCGCGTTCGAAGCTTTAAGAACTAAAAGCCGGGCACTACACATTTGTGCACTGCAGCCTGGCAGCGCTGGAGCCCTGGGTTCTATTGCTGGGGTGCTGTCTATGTGGAGTTTACATGTTCTCCTCGTGTTTGTGTGGGTTTCTGCTTCTGGGAAAACTGGCCCTGGTGTGTGTGTGTGAGTCTGTTATAATATATTATAAATATAATGTATAATTATTAATTATTATCAGTTAAGAACTTTATAAAGGACCCAGAACTGTTATTGGGAACCCCTGTTCTCAGGCAGAAGTAGTTGAGAGCTCCCAGCTTACCATTTGAATCCGTATCGGACAGACACAGTTCTTGCTCTATTTAGTTTGTCTGGTTCTGTGCGTCCTCACTGTCTTGTCTCAGCTCTCTCCTGTTCTCTGACACACTTTTAAACTGCCTCAACTCCCCCCCAACCCCTGCCCGGTTCCACCCCTCCCACCAAGTTACTTAGACAGATTCACAAGGTCACAGTCACCACAGAAACCAGCGAGGTGAGGAAGGAAACTGATAGCAAGCAGGCTGAACAGGCAAAGAACTGGGCGGCTAATATCAACCAGGTAGGACCCCAAGGGGAGGTGCAGTAGAGCGCTGCATGGATTTGTAGTTTTTTAGATGCTTTTTTTTAGGCTTGTAGTTTGCATTTGTGCTGAGTGAGGTTGGGAGTGAAAGAGACGAGAGGGAGACCGGGATGGAGTGAACAGGAGAGGAAAGAAATTAGGAAAAGTCCGAACGAGAGAATAAAAAACAAAGGCGTCCGCCCCTGTCTCTCTGAGCACCATGCTTGTGTTCTTGCAGTTAATCGCTCTCGGTGTACGTGTCCTGATCTCTCTCTAAGTCTCTGCCCTTCTTTTGAATTTTTCCTCTCTTTCTCAGGTGGAGGTAGAGTCCTGGGTGGATGAGTTCACCACAGGGGGCGCTCTCTCCCCTAACCCTGACTTTGAGAAAGCGAAGGCAGCTGTGGAGGTAACTGGGGAGCCCCACTATCAGAACTGTTCTTGACCGAATCTCTGTGGCCCAACGGACCCACCTGTTATGTGTCTTTCTTATGAAGCCACCTGGTTTAGTGCCCTGAGAGGTTGTACAAGGGTCCAGTTACTTAAAGAGGACTACAGACTGGAGAATACACAAGGGCACTCTGTGAAACTGTGAACCTCTGATGTCCTGTTAACTGCAGAAGAGGACATTATTAACAGCTACAAGTGCAGTTCTTACGCAACACTTGTTTAATTAAGAAGTGAACAGACTGTACTGCCCAGGGCTTGTTAGTGACAGTTAGAAACAACCCTTTTGTGTGAAGTAACTTTCATATATAGTGATTTATAGAAACAGTGATAGGATAAATACTATGATGCGTTACTACTCCTAAGTACCATTAATGGACATATGGCTGCCCAGTGCCATGTGGGATATGTAGTTTGTTAGAGAACTTTCTCTAAGGAACTACATATCCCACATGGCACTGGGCAGCCATATGTCCATTAATGGTACTTAGAATACCATTAACCCATGTAGTTCTTTAGAGAACTACATATCCCATATGGCAATGGGAAGCTATATGTCCATTAATGGTACTTGGAGTAGTATTGCATCATAGTGTCTATCCCATCACTATTTCAGAGATGTGCAGTTTTGTAAGAACTGCAGTTCACATAGTGCCTTTGACCACGTTAGAAAATCCCTACGGGCAGTTCAGGGTTTGCAGTGCAACATGGGAGCTGTAGTTTTTGTCTCCTCTGACATTGTTCCCTGTGACTGTACCTGCAGAGTGACGTGGATTTCTGGGAGAAGCTGCAAGCGGAGTGGGAGGAGATGGCCAAGAGAGACGCCGAGGCTCACCCGTGGCTGAGCGAGTACGACGACCTCATGTCCTCGTCCTATGACAAGGTGTGGCTGACGTGCGTGCATGTGTGCGTGTGTGTGTGTCTTGAGTGCTTCTCCCTCTGGCTCTGTGCAACGCCTGCTTGCTTTGGGGCGCTTTTGATTTTCATTTCCAGTGGAATGCCCGGTGGAGAAGCATGTGATGGGGCACGTGCACTTCTCTGCCGTGGGGCACTGGGGAGTGTTACCAGCGGTAGGGTGTGGAAGTCGCTGGCAGAGGGATGCTGGCTGTTAGACAGTCTGTGATTCCCACCTCCGCTGTGTTAGTGCACTGGAGTGGTGGAGTGTTTTGTCTGGAATTAACCCTTCTCTCTGTGTTTACTTGCTAATGCACTGTAGTTTCTGTATTAACCCCTCTGTGTGTGTGTGCTTGGTAATGCACTGTAGTATCTATAACAATAATGGGGATTACAATAGTCATTACAGTGACTAGTGAGCAGGAAGGGCTGTAATCCCCCTCTATGAATTGGCTTCATTACTCTGCTCTCCTCCCCACTAATAGCTGGTGTGTGGGGAGCGTTCTGGCGCACCATGGCTGCCGTCGCATCATCCAGGTGGGGCTGCACATTGGTGGTGGTAGTGGGAGTCCCCATTACCTGTAAAGTGCTTTGAGTGGAGTGTCCAGTGCTATATAAGTGTAAGCAATTATTATGAATTATTAGTTAACCCCCCTGTGTGTGTGAATTCTTGTTAATGCCCTGCAGTGTCTGTATTAACCCCTCTGTATTAATGCAGTGTATCTGGTTTCACTCTGGTCTCTCTCTGTCTGTCAGGGATACGAGTTTGAGCAGGACAACCCCTACCTCTCGCACCCGGACCCACTGGCGGAGGGCGTGAAGAAGCTGGAGCGCGGAGACATTCCCGGGGCAGTGAGGCTGTTTGAGAGCGCCGTGCAGAGAGAGCCCAACAACCAGCTGGTACTGGGAGGGGGCGCTGTGTCTGCAGCAGGGGTGTTTACAGTGTTTAAAGGGGGACTGCCGTCCCAGTTTCTCAGACCAGTTATGAACTTTCAGGAGCAGGATAAATTCAGTGACGGTATGAAAAAAATGGGACAAAATCGTTAACTTTGTGAAAGTACTGTAGGTCGTCCTGTCGACCTCACTCACATTCAAGTTCCCTCGAATTGCTACGTGAGTCAGACCTTCCTGCTCACTAGTCACCATTAGGACTAATGTAATGTGATTGGATGAATGAGTGCGTACAGGTGGTGCAGTAGATATTTCACTGCAGAAATGTTCCAGCGTGATCTGCTGCAGAGTGATCTTGCTGCAAGTAGTATTTATCAGCAAAGCCATCTGTAAGTCGAAAACGTAATTTCTGTTGGATTAAAAGAGAGGGATTCACAAGCCTGCTTGTTTACTCTGCAATAGAGCCGCTTCACCTCACCGGAAGTTTTGTTACCTTGTTCTGAATCGCAGGACATGGTGCTGCGCAGACCTGGAAATTGAATCTATTTTGGGATGTAAATTGGAGGTTTTACAAGTTACTACGTGACTTTTACTTTCATTGTTGTCTGAAATGCACTCATCAGTGCTGATTCTTTCTAACCCCCGAAATATGAAAATAGAGTTGCAGTTCCTCTTTAAACAGCACGGGACTTGGTCTGACACCGTCCCACCTTCTTTCTTTCTCTCTCTCCCTTAGGCTTGGCAGTACTTGGGCACCTCCCAGGCGGAGAATGAGCAGGAATTTGCGGCCATCAGCGCCCTCCGCAGGTACAACGCAGGCACTGCAGCACCCGCTAAAACGAAGAACTCGAATTCAGATCTCGTCGCGAGTTCCTCACTAGCAAAGCCCATGCGCTCGTGGCGGGTTAAAAAAAAAGATGAGGACACCAGTCTCAAAAGAAAGAGAGAATTTGAGCCGATACCTTGACTTCCGTTGAGAAACGGCGAGATGAGCTGCGGGGGTGAATTAGCTCCTCACTAACGAGCGCGAAGGGCTGATCTCTGTGGGGCGGACTGTTCTCTGTGGCATTGCTTTCCCTTTTTGTATTTGCCAGTTGTTATTCCTGCTCAATTTGACATCTGCGCTTCCCCGCAAGGGGGCAGACTCGTCTTTTAAGGCATCGCCTAGGCAGGATGGGGTCAACGTACCGGTGGGAGGGAGGGGGTGGCTGGTTGGAGGAGAGGGGACGCCTCGACGACGGCCAACGCGCCGGACACGGTGCCGCTGAGAGTGTCGCTGCAGACTTATCACTCCCCGACCCCTTGTGGGGCTCGACTAGCCTTGTCTGCGCCACACTCCTCTTGCGGGGCGAAGCTGGGAAAGACATTGAAAGGCATGTCTCCCCCACCAGAGTGCCTCTGGGAAGCTTTTCTCTACTGTCTCGACGAAACCGTCCTGTAAAACGTTCTGCCCTCAAGGCCCGATCGCTGCCCTGCAGTGTAAATACCCCCCAGTGGAAACTTCAACTTCTTCCTTTTAGGATTAGTGAAGGGCGGCATGGTGGCACAGCTGCCTGAGCATTGCTGCCTCGCAGAGCTGGGGCCCCGGGTTCAGTTCCTGGGGTGCTGTCTGTGTGGAGTTTGCATGTTCTCCCTCTGTTTGCATGGGCTTTCCTCCAGGTGCTCCAGTTCCTCCCAAGGTCCACACACATGCTGGTGGGTTAAAAACTAGCTCTAGCGCAGGAGTGGGAGTCTGTGTGTGCCCGGCGAAGGACGGGCGTCCCATCCAGGCTGTACCCCACCTTGTGCCTGCTGCTTGCCAGGATAGGCTCTGGCTGCACCCCTGAATTTGAAGGAGCAGCTAGAAAATGGATGGATGGGTGGAAGATGAGTGAAAACGCCCATCAGTGCCTTCAGCTGTGTCTGTTGACCTCGTCCTGTTAAACCCTGAAACTAGTGCTTTTTCTGCATGACATTAATGTGGTACTATACCGCTATGGTAATGCTATATAATATGGTTATATATTTTGTATATGGAATATATTGTGGTAATATGGTAATATAATATGATATTATATAATAAGATAATTATTACACTCATACTCCAGTATCCAAACCTAGTTTGTTCCTGAAAATCTGTTTGGAAGGCGGGAGATTGTCAAATCGAAAATAATAATTCCATTATTTCTTCCTCCCCTGTTCTGACCCGAAGACAAGTTTACTCAAAAACCCCCCTAAACATACCATCCAGATCATTATAGCAAGCTCGGTGAACAGCGCAGTTCTACTCAAATAAGCCAGCTACATACGATACAGATATCATATTTACATTTTTCATTCTTTTGTAATAGATCACTATCCAAGCGATCGGCTAGAACGATGCGCGTATTGTTGTTGACTATGATGCTAAAGAATCTTTTTCTCTTCGTACCTGTGCTAACTCCATACATATTTATGAATTATAATTATCTGTCCATAATAAATAGCCATATACAGATAATATTATTAATACCCATAAGGCCGTAGTTGTAAATGAAGTAATCTGTATTCAGTTTAAATACCACAGGTTTAAGTAATTAATAGGAGTCGCTGCCTGGGGAAAAAAGCTGTTATATGTAAAACAGCTTTTATATGATAAAAAAGCTATAATATATAATATACAGTATGATGATTATACAATATTATATATGGTAATATAATATGGTGATGCTATATAATGGTAGGTATTCAGAGCTGTGTGCTGTACTGCAGATCCAGTCTGGTATTGAGCTCTGCTGTCGTTGAAACGGTGTCGGCCGCGGTATTGACTCACGCGGCGCCCGCCCTCCCTCCCGCAGGTGTGTCCAGCTGAAGAGCGACAACCTGGTGGCGCTCATGGCCCTGGCGGTCAGCTTCACCAACGAGTCGCTGCACAAGCAGGCCTGCGAGACGCTGCGCGACTGGCTGGCCCAGAACCCCAAATACCGCCACCTGGTGGACAGAGCCAGGGAGGGCGGCGGCGGCGGCGGCGGCGACCGGGCCAGGGACCGCGAGAGGGAGAGGTTCGGCTCCCTACTGCCCGAGTGAGTCCCCCCCCCCC